CCCACAGACTCTGCAGACTAGCCCTGGGCCAGAGCCAGTCATTTCAGACTCATTTCCTGCAAGCATGAAGAGAGGCTGCTGGGATGGGCTTCAGGGAGACTCAGATAGCAGGACGCAATTGGAGCCTACTGTCCATGGTCATGGGATGGGTATGTGCAGGCCCTGAGCAGGGACCCGAGTTCTAATGCTGGTCTTGTCTTTGCATGGGGAGTCATTCATCTCTTCTGGACTATAAAGTAAGAGATCTGTAGGGTTCCTCAAAGCATGGACATTTTATTTTTCAAACAGTCAATAGAGTGCCTGAGAAGAACAATACCAACGTGTGTCACGTGCTGGTTGTGAGTGCTGTGGCAGGTACTAGAAAACAAAGTTTAGTGCAGAGTTAAAAAAATGATTTCATGAATTTGCATCAGCCCTCAAGGCAGCATCTCTGCAAAGGCTGCTGATGAGATGAAGCATCTTGATCGATGAGCAGAAAGGCCAGGAGGACAAGGCCCTGTCTGCAGTGGGCCCTGACCTGTGCCAGCTTAGGACCTGCCCCCCTGGGGTGTCCAGAGTCAAAAGTGGTCTGACATCCATAGTCATTATTTCATTCTGGGCATAACCTCCCATGTCCCCAACCCATGACATCCCTGGCCAGTCCCTCTGGATGACATGAGCAGGCTAAGTTTCATACTCAGTTCATAGGCCACACAGGACAGACGTGAGAAATCTGAGTCCCAGGGTAAGTTTTAGCAGCGCTGAAACTTGCTGGCTGGGTGGCTTGGAAATCACTCGGCTTCTCTGCCTCTGCCTTCCTGACTATAACCCTCCTGGAAGGAGTTTGCAGTTTGAAGCAAACTCATATCTGCCTCCCCAGCAGGTAGCGAAGACCCTGGGAAAGATCACGTACTCCATGACTGGTCTGAGTCTATCCTACCTGTCTGACAAGTATGTGGGGAAATACATTTTTTAATCATAAGACATCTCAAAAATGTCAGCTAATATTAACTAATACAAATGTTAGTATTTAATATTAGTATTAATATTGTTAGTCATATAGTTCTGATTCACATTTAATCTTCTTATTGCTGCTGACAACCAGGAGTGATCCAGAGGCGGGGGCCTGGGTATGTGTGCACCCACTTTTGCAGACAAATGAGGGCTTCCCACTTTCCATGTCTTTCTGCACTGAGGGCAGAGAGAAGAGGGGGCGAGATGAGAGAAAGAGAGTGGTATGAGGCAGCACAATCTTGTCTGGAGCCAACTGTTTCTGCTCCTGGAACTAGGTGCAAGCCTAGCCCCACCCCACACTCCACTGCTTCCTTCTTGCCTCCAGGTGAACCCTAAGCATCTGCCTCACAGAGGTCTGGCTCTTGACAGCAGCAGTGGCTGGTTGAAGAGCCACGGACTAGGAGACAGAGCTTGAATGATGCCCTTTGGCCCATTTCCAGCCGTTCCTGGCGATTCGAGAAAACAAGCCATTAGTCTGGAGTGTTCCTTAGTGATCTAATGAGAGCAGGGCAGCCAGATTGTTGGGTTAGAGAGTCCCCCACCTCAGAGACTGGGACAGCATTTGAAATCATTAAGGACTTTCTCCTGGCTCGGAGGGGCGTGCCCTTAAATCCTCTACCCCCAAGTGAAGTGTCCAGCGCCTGCTAAATGGGTGCGGGTGGGACTCACCCTTATCTTGGAAAGTTGCTGACCTCACTTTCTCACCTGGACTCAAAATTGTATATTTTTAAAGCTGTACGAGACCTCAGTGCTCACTCGCTCATTTTGCAGATGAGAAGATGAAGGCTAGGAGGGGGAATAGACTTGTCCTGAGCTCCTGCTGCCTGCTTCTGTCTCCCAAGCCTGGATTTTTTTTCCTCCTTTTTTTTTTTTTTCACTTGTAACACTATTTTCTTGAGACTTACAGCACATTCCAAGAATAAAATCAGGAAAAAAATTATCCATGCTATTTATTCACTCTCACTCGGAGAAGCTGTTAGCGCTAATGACCTTTCCAAATTAATACAATCTGTAAATGCTCAATTGTTTATTGCACACACTGGGTTACACCTCTAAATGACTGGAGGGAACTGCATGTCCGCCTGCAATATTTAGCTCTTGGGCTGCACAGCCAGTGGGGGAGCTGTGGTCAGATTCCCTAGGAGGCTGGTGAGGCCCATTGAATGTCCTTCCCAGCGCCTTGGAGGAGCAGCCCATGGTGTTATTGATAATCTTTGTCCAGGGCTCCCACCAGGGATTACTTATTGGGAAAGGCAAAGCTCTCAGATATGAACATAATATAGAACCTAATGAAGAGCTTGAATGCAGGCTGTGACCTTCCGAGAAAGCAGAGTGGGAGGTAACCAGTGACTTGGTGGAGGAGGTGGCATGTGATGGAGGTCCACCAGAAAGAGGTGGATTAGGTCAGGCCATGGCCTAGGCAAGGGCTTTGTAGGCAGGGAGCTCCACATGGTGCATCACACCTTGGTGAGCAACAGGTGAGAATGAGCCCACGTGCCTGGGGAGGAGGCAGGCAGGGGACATGGTGGGTGGGACGGGTTGGGTGGAAAGAGGCCGCATTCTGGAGGTGATGGTGTTTGTGTTAGGGGGAAGGATGTCCTGAGCAAACACCATACAGGCTTTGTGGACTCCACCCTCCAACTCCATCAAGACACTGGGAACTACAAATCCCATGATCCCCAAAGAGTAGGTTGAGAGGACCTGAGGGCGGAGTTAAGCAACTAGGTTCTCGGTTTGAGTATTTAACCAGCCATGTGTCTGGGGGTCGCTCTCTTGGCCACACAGCATGCTTGGGTTTTTGCCAGCTCAGCGGGTCATTGGGATTCCAGGTCAGCGGAACAGGTAGGATGCATTTACAAACGTATCTCCCTCTTTTTCTCCCTGAGTTTTTCATTTCCCCTTTTCTCCTTCCCTTGTAAATAAACCTTTTATCAACCTTTTGTGTATGTCTGCTGTTTAGCATTAATAAGTCCCCTTTAAGTGTGTGGGTGAGGACCCATAGTCAGGCAACCCATTTTATATCAGGTTTGCCCTGTAACATTTGGACTTTAAGAGAATCATTGTTGTCGCTCAGGCCCCCCTGTCTAAGACTAGGCTGCCCACACACCGTGCCAACAAGCCATGGGCTTCCCTGGCCCACTGTCCAGTTCTCTCTGTGTCCTGGTGGACTTCCTCGCTGAGCTTGTGAATGACACAGGCTGTTTGGATTTCCAAAAGGAAAATGGACAAAAGTCTTGGAGAGAAATGCTGTGTATGTTCTATTATTATTATTTAAAATAAATATAACAAAATTTGCCATGTTAATCACTAAGTACATTCACTGATGCTCAGCCATCACCACCATCCGAAGGTTTTGGTCACCCCCAAAAGAAACTGTACCCTTTAAACTATAACCCCCCAAAAAAAATGTCTGTTATATTTTCTTTCTGTTATGATTATACTTTCTGTCTCTGTGAATTGGCCTGGTCTAGACACCTAGATAAGTGGAATCCTACAGTGCTTGTCTCTTGTGACTGGTCTGTTTCATGCAACGCACTGTCTTCAAGATTCACCCATGTGGTGGCATGTCAGAATTTCCTTCCTTATTTTAAAGTTGAATAATATTCCATTGTGTGTATCAACCACATTTGCTTCTCTATCCATCCATGAACGAACGCTTAGGTTGCTTCCACCACTTGCCGATGGTGGCCGATGCTCCTATGATCGTGGCTGCGTAAATATCTGTTTAAGTCCTTTGCAGGAGGCTTTTGAGCTTTTTTTTTTTTAAAAAAAAAAAAACGTGCTTGGGGCTTTCAAATGATCAGGGCTGATCTGCTGGCCCTTTATCACACTGCTAGGAGGATTGTCAGTTTGCCATTTCTCTCGTATTAAGACTCTCCTGCCTTGAGCAGAGCTCTTGATTGCCCTCTGCCAGGGACATAGATTGAAGGCTGGACTCTGGGACATACGGCCTCTCACCATACCGCACTAAGCTGCTTCAGCCTGTGCATTAGCCAGTGTTGAGGCCTCTTTGCCTTCACTTCTTATCCTGAAACACATCAGTCATGTTGAATTTGTCCCTCTCTGAGATAGCAAGTACTTTGAGCTCTGGCTTGGTAACTTCTTTCTGCCACCTTGTAAGATGTATTTAGCCACAGCTGTAAATGCCCATGGAAATCACTGGCCCATGGTTCTGCCATCTTGTCCCACACCCGCCCCCCCTCCAATCCACCACCCACAAACACATACTCACTCCAAAATCTCCAAAGCTGCTGGAGAACTAAAGGGCACACTGTCTTAAACATCACTACCTCCGGGCACTAATTGCCTCTACAGATCCCAAACTCACTCAAAACACATTAAAGTGGTGACACTCTCAAGCAGAAAGGCAGGAGAATTCACAGTTCAGGTTGGCATTGTCATTAACTCAAGTCTTTGGTGTCAACTCTCTCCCGCACCAAACGTCCGTTCCTGGCCTTACAGTCAACCTCCGCCATGCATTTTCTGGCCTTTGTTGGTTTGTGTCAGCTCTTGAACATTATTTAAATGTAGTTTGGGGCCCTTGCATGCAATTACCATTGTGTTATTATTCAGAACCAGATTGTTAAGATTCAGGCAGCTGTACAAGGAGATGCCCTGTGCTGTGAGGTCCAATTTAGGAGGGCCTTCCGAGCTGGTGCGAGGGGTTGCTAGGCAACCCCATGCTACAGAAGAGGAGGCCTCACTCCGAGTGGGAAGAAGCTGAGCGCCTTCAGGGAATTGGAGGCAGTGGTCAATCTGAGACTGGCACGGCGCCGGGGAGGGGAGGGAGGTAGCGCGGGCCTGAGTGCAGGGGCCCAGAGGGGTGGGATCACTGGAGGAGCCAGGGGCGCCCACCCAGCTAGCACAGGGTGTTCTGGGAAGGGAGAGTGCTGCTGGGAGTGAGAAGACAGAGAAGGTGCAGACGCCCCGAGGTCAGCCAGGAAACTGCAGAAGGATACCCAGAGCTGATGCTAATATGCTTCTCCGTCCCTTTCTTCTCTTTGCAGGAAATGAGCAGGTTTGCAGAGAAAGTGCTGGCCTGAAATTTAAGACAAAGGCGGCGTTGCTTGTGAGTATAAATTTTGCTGTTTTAGGTCTGTGGTTTGACAGTGCTCCTGGGGAGTAGGCAGGTTTCCCTGTTTGGGGAAGGGTTTTTGGACCTTCTGGAAGGTGCTGTTCATTGGCTGGATAGGGATATGGACTGAAGTACATAAGGTTTTGAGGCAAAGGTGCAGGGGTTGAACCTTGGCTCTGCTCTCTAAGTAGAGCGTGTCCCCTGCGGTTCAATGATGAGTGGCCCCTTGACTCTTGATAATGGATATGTGGGGAGACTTGGATTCCTCAGGGAGAAGGAAGATGTGCTTTTTGTCACCCTGGGGCCACAGTTAGCACTGAAGTTTGCTGCTAGGTGAACCCTATTTAGAACAGTTAATTCTCATATAGGCCATTAACAGTGTGTTAAACTAAGAACTTGAATACTTCCCGGTCCATTGCTCAGTCTGCTAACGGTGCTAATCTCCAGGTGCCTGGTACTATCTGGAGAGGCTGAGAAATACAAAAGAAGCAGCAGGCCTAGACTTTATTTTAGAGGAGCTCTAGTCCCATGTGGGAGGAGAAGACCGCTGCATGCAAGACCGTTAAACTTTATGAAAGGGCTCCTGGTCCTGCCCTGACTCTGTGGTTCAGGCTGAAATGCTGGAGCATGGTTAGAGAAAACTTCCTGGGGAAGGAGAGGTGTGAACTGGGCCGATGGAGGATGGGGGCCACTCCAGGGAGGAACAGGGCAGAGGCACCAGGATGAGCACCCTAAAGATATATGGGAAGTATGTCGCTGACACGGATCTGATGGAGAGGGGAGGAAACGCAGGTGTGTGGGGGCAGGGACAGGTGGTAAAGGGTTTGAAATGTCTTCGTGAACGATCCATATGCAAAGAATTGGGATAGAAAGATGTGTCCTTCCTCTATAAAAATAAAATTAAGTTTTTGCCAGTTTGTCTGTAACTTATCACGTGAAAATGGATGCATGGATTTTTTTTTTTTTACTGAGTTGAGGTTGTATTTGAGATCACTATATTCTCTGGATAAATTATAGGAAATCCATATTGGGTATCAGTCCTCCCTATATCTCTGAGGGGGGAGAAGGGAGGCTTCTCCAGAGGACTGCAGATGGGGGCCACCCTGAGCTCCAGGCTGCAAGTCGCCAGGGCAGTGCTGCCGGGAGGGGCCCTCTGGCTTTCCCAGGAACAGCTTCTCACGTGGGGACCTCTAAGTACTATGCCCAGAGGAAGGCAGCAGGGATTTATTTATTTCACAAAGGTTAATTAATTATTTGTTCTGAGCAAGCAGGGGAAGCTCACTGGTTCTGAATCTCAAGAACAACAAGCAGTATGTATATAGTGTTATCAACAGAGCTGACGTGCAGGCTTTCTGCTGCATGTAACTGGGCATCTGATGGTGGGACCAGCCTCCCGGCTCTGCCCCACCTCCTGACCCTTTATCCTGGGAAGGGCAGTATTTGCTATGCGGTCCCATCGGGGTCTGATTTGGGGGACTCTCTGTTCTGGATGGTTAGGTTTTGCTGTGCTGGCCTTCGTGGGATATATAGTATCAGCCTGGTAGTCATTGAAAGGTGGTTCTGGTTCTGCCCTTAAAAAGGGAGGCTCATATGTACTTCTACTGCCAGGAACAACCTTCTGGAAGGTGTCCTATTAGAGCCGTTGTAATTTGTGACCCCTAGAAGCAGAGCCTGAGACAGGAGTTCAGAAACACACGTACATGCTATGATGCGTCAGGTGAAATGTGATGGATCAAGGAAAAGCTCTAGGAGAAAGTTGTGAGGGGAGGAAAGGGAGCTGATAAGGAGGGAAGAGTGGAGTAAGGATGTTTGAGGGCAAGTCTCTCCTTGACTTGATCTGCATCAGTGTGGTGATGTGGCGCCGTGGTGATGTTTGGTTGGTGGTCAGGGATGGGCCCTCATTAGTCATCAACCACCCCCTTCGCCAATGGTTTTGCTGGCACAACTGCCAAGACATCATCTTAAACAAGAACAAGGGTCCAGAGAAAATGCCGAGTGAAAGCAGCTGGGGAGTGGGTATCCCACAGATAAAGATGTGGGGTGGAGGCATCAGCCTCATTTCCTACCTTGCCTGCAACTGCTAGGATGACGAAGACAGCTGAATGCAGTTTTCACTTGACCCAGCAGTGATTTTCATGTAGAAGTTTGTATTTTAAAAATACAGGTATTAAAACAGAAATCAGTGGTGTCAAAGTCTGTTTTCACTGAAACAACGATGTGTTTTTTAAAACGTAATTTTATTCTGAAGAAGTAATGCAGTCCCATGGCTCAAAATTCCCTCAAGGTATACTATGAAAGTTTCTTTACCACCTCTGTCCCCCAGCAGCCTGGCTCCTCTCCAGGTGACAACGAATATTACCAGGGTTTTGGGTTACTTCCCAATGACAATCTTTGCACACCGACAATGGTGTGGTTTAGATGTCAAAATTTTGGTGAGTGTGGAGCAGTAATGAAGGCACCACTGTCTTGGTCCTCAGGAATCAGCAGTCAGGGTTATTCCAGAAGGGGTTGAACTGCAGTTGGCTTGTCTTTGTAAAGAAAGAGCAATTCACCCTGTCAGCGCTCAGTGGAATATTGAAAATGCATAAAAACTTTGCAAACATTTCCAGACTCCTTAGAGTTGCTGTATAAACAATTGATACAAGAATTGCAAATTATTATTTCCTATTAAAGTGAATTACATATAAAGAGTTTGAAAGGCTATATTACAACCCTTGGAATTCCCAAATAGTTTAAATAATTTAAAATTTCACTCAATTCACAGTTTAGTTGAAATGATTGCCGTCTCAATGCATGGATATTATTTGCATATTGTTTGAAGACTTCCTGAAATACGTATTGTTTCCAAAGTGTGTTTATACCTACCACAGTGCCAGCGCCCTGTGCTTTTTCACTATAGGTTCCTTTGATGAAGCCTTTGTTGTCATTTGGAGATACTCTCTCCACCTAGATGCTGGTCAGTGATGGAGTAGGTACCTTTGTTGGGAGCTCCCTGTTGGAGGAGTTGAAAGAGCAACTGGGTCATCTGTCAACAGAGTTACATAGAAAATCTACCCTTCTTGACAGGCAGGTTTAGTAGACTTCCAAGGTCTTGTCATAGCTGAGCTAGTCTTTGCAGCTTCATTGCCATTATGGCTTTTATAGGCCATTTCCCCCGTTTGGAATCCAGGTTATGAGATTCACACTGAATGCTTAGCTACTGAATTTTGGGTCCACAGGTTTTGTCCAATGCTTTTAAAGTCCAAAAAGAACTTATTTTGTAATCTCATAGGCCTGGCATATGTTTTTTTTTTTTTGCAAACCAGTTCTCTCCTCTCACCTTCCCTCATGTCTACACCCTCTCTCAGGTTGCAAGAAAATCCTCTAACATGTGCATGACCCGTTCAAGCCCTGAGAGGGATTTCGGTGGCACCCCCGTGAGGCAATGAAAAAAAATCTCATTTCCGTCCGAGAAATAGAATCATTATCTTGATTGAAATAATATCTTTCCTCAACCTGCGACCAGATAAAGCATCAAATTGGTGGAGTTTCCTTATCATTGCAGAGTTTGCAGAACACAGAGTAATGGCCTGTCAGCTGCCTCTGGTGGGGTAGCTGCTGTAAGGCAGAGCCTACAGCTCCTGGCCTGATTTGGATTATACAACTGGTGCGATGTAAAACAATTCCATTAATAACAAATACTGCATTAGAAGGAGAAGATAGGATAGAACCTAGAACTGCATAAGCTATCAGTGCAACTGTCCCTATTGTGATGGTGGTTGGTTCTAGTTAGACACCATATAACATGTATGAGAATTTGCAGGAGACACTGAAAACTGTAGATGTTCTCATATTTTTCTGATGTGAATGCTCTAGAATCCCAGTGCCCACTGGGCTGAAGTTTCCCAGGACTGCAGCAGAATAATAAAGCAACTGGGCTTAAGAAGGTGAACTGGATCCTAGTTTTGGAAGGAAAATGGGGCAGCCAGCAGCCAGCAAACCAACTTCTGTGGCGAAGAGTCGAGTTGTGGGCAGGGGCTCTGAATTCTAGCCCAAACCCACCATCACTATCAAGCTGCTTTGGGCTTTTGAGGCTCAGTCTCCTCATTGTTCAGAGAGGGTAGCATGAGTGTGTCAGAAGGGGGTGAGACCACCTATGTGCAAAGTCCAGGTATACCGTGTTCCCTAGAGGGGAGGCTCCTCTGGGTCCTGTTGGGTCTCCAGATGTCAACATGCTGAGTCCCAAGGGGACTCTTCTCTTGCTGCTTAACTCCACATAACTTCTGCATCAAAAGAAGTTTTCTTGAGGCTTAGGAAGCAACAGGATAGAGTGTACTACAAAGAGCTGAGCTATTACCACCCTCACTACCAGCTTCACCTATCAAAATGAAGGGGGTGACTCAAGGTGATTAGTGGTAGACATTTTTGAGTGCTTACTCTGTGATAGGCATATTCTAACCACTTTACATGCATTTACTCACTTAATCCTCACAACACTTAATCCTCACAACAGAGTAATGGCCTGTCAGCAGCCTCTGGTGGGGTGGCTGCTGTAAGGCAGAGCCTACAGCTCCTGGCCTGATTTGGATTATACAACTGGTGCAATGAGAATAATTCCATTAATAACAAATATCATTGCATCAGAAGGAGAAGATAGGACGGAACCTAGAACTGCCTAAGCTATCAATGCAACTGTCCCTGTTGCGGTGGTGGTTGGTTCTAGTTAGACACCATATAACATGTAAGGTGTCTTTCCCATTAAAAACTTGTAATATCTGCCTGTTACATGTGAGAAGAAGCAGAGAGGTTAAGTAAATTTCCCAGGTTACACAGCTCATAAGTGGGATTTGAAGACATTCGGGTAGGAGCTTTTGAGAACTTAAAAGAGACTATATCTGGGCTAAATAATGCGTGTAGTTCAAACATTTTGAACTTTCATCAGATCTTAAACTATAATGTTGGGATAGGGAGAAACAATGATATCTCTGTAACGTTCCAGGGGTCATAGAGGTGAT